ATCATCTAAGAGAGGAAACAAGCTTTTGTTGGGTTTATTCTGAAGGCCAGAGAACATGCCATCCCAACATATACCATGTTGTTATTTTGATGATCTTGAGCTGCAGATGCTTGAAAAACAGCAAATGCACCAAGAGGCTTTCACTGAAGTTTCCTGATCTGCCTAAGATCGGACCCCCCAAAAGGAGCTTAAATGTCATAGGTCCCCTCAATGGGAAAAGTGTCATCAGCCAGTGAAGACTGACTCCTGTCACAGGACAGGAGACTAGAAGTTGACATCACACCCAAATTTTGTTACAAACTATCTCTCCCCAACTCCCATTCATCTTTCCTAAAAATCATTTACTCTCCTCTAAGAGGCCTACATCTCCTGTCTCCTCTCCCTAGGAAGAAGGTATTTAAATCTTGATTCTAAGACACCTTGGGGAGTTATTCATTTTTCCCTGGGATCTCCCACATATACACGAGGTACACATATTAATGAACTTTTGTTTTTCTCTTGGTAATCTTTCATTACAAGGGCCTCCTCCAAGAACTCAGAAGGGTAGAGGAAAACTATTTTTTCTCCTCCATAATTCTATCTCTGGAAATCAAGTCCCGGGCTGAACAGTGAGGTTGGCTCAAGTGCCAAGCAGTCCCGGCTGAGGGGAGGGAAGCTTCTAGGGAGAAATCAATGATATTGACATCAAAGTAGGACAGAGGGCACATGCATGGGAGTTTAAAGTGGTTCAACATTTTTGGAGGATGATTTGGCAAATTTGATAAAAATGTGCAAGGTATATCCAAGGGTCTTCTAGGAATCTCATCTGCTGAGATAAAGTGTGAGTGCATAAGCCCTGGTCAGAACCCAGGATGCTACTGTGGGCTGCCCTTCCATGATAGGAAAACCTGCTAACAACCTGCATTTTTTGGACAAGGTGGCATCTATATTAATAAAAGGGTAATATGCTAATTAGACTGAACATCTTCTGGACGACCTTCCGGATATCCTTCCATACAAAGCCATGGTGGGGGGGCTGAGGCAGAGGCAGTTAGAGGTGATGAGGCAGGCAGGGGAGAGCAGTTAGGGGGATCAGGCTGGCAGGGGAGAGCAGTTAGGGAGATCAGGCTGGCAAGCATATGAGCAGTTAGGAGCCAGCAGTCCCAAGGGGTCATGGATTGGAGAGGGTGCAAGCTGAGCTGAGGGAACCCCCCTCCCATGCAAGAATTTCCTCCACCGTGCCTCGAGTAAAAAGATAAAAAACAGACTATATGAACAAAATATTGACAATACATACATACTATCAACAATTGAATCTAAGAACCAAAATAAGTGAACAAAGTATCTAATGACAAAATTAACTGATGCATAAAATAGAACTGGAGACACGGAAATGTGGAACAGAAAGACAAAACTCAGAGGGAAGAGGGAGGAGAGAGTGGAATAGGATGAACCAAAGAACTCACATGCACATATGCATGACCGATGGACACAGACAGGATGGCGGTGAAGGCCAGAGTGGGGCAGGAATGGGGTGGAAGGTTGATATGGGGGTAAAAATGGGGACATCAGTAATACTCTCAATAGCAAAATTTTTTAAGAAAATAAATTAGAAAAGGAAGATCAAAATCACCCAAAGTCAAGCAAAAGGAAGGAAAAATAAAGATGAGCAGAGATTAATGAATTCAACACAGAAAAATGATAGAAAACCACCAATGATGCCAACAGCTAAATCTTTGAAAACATCAATAAAACTAACCCAGTGCTTAGAAGACTGGCAAAGAGACAAATGACCAATATCAGAAATTAATTAGGAGAATAAACACATTCCCCACTGCATTCTTATGAGACTGGCATTCCTTGTGCAGTCAGTACAAAGAAAGATTAAACTACAGACTGAAATCTCTTGTTAACATATTTACTAAAATCCTCAACAGAAGATTAGCCAATCCTACCAGCAATATAAGAAACTCATACTCCATCATGACCAAGCAGGAATTATCCCAACAATTCAAAGATGATTCAACATTTTTAAATCATCCGATGTAATCCGACAGGTCAACTGTGTAAAGAAGAGAAGTCACATGGTCATTAAAATTGATACAGAAAAGTGTGTACAAAGTATAGCTTCATTCATGATAAAACGCTTAGGGCACTTGGGATAAAGGGGCCCTTCCTCACTCTGATCATGGGACTCCTGGACCTGATGTCACACTCGATTGTGGGAAGTTACATGATTCCCTCAGATGGGGACAGAGTCAAAAAGGCCCACTCTTACCACTTCTATTCAACATGGTCCTTGACGTGTTAACAATAGCAATAAGACAGGAAAAATGCATAGAGACATTCAAATGTGAGCCCACACACAAAGTGTCCCTACCTGCAGGTGATATGTTCATCTATGAAGAAAAATCAGAAGAATCTACTTCAAAATCCCGGGTGAATGTACAGAAATGGGTCTATTTGGAGACTTATCATAACTGCAGTGGTGCTGTCTGTGCGGGGCTGGCAAAGCAGCAGATAAGGGGAGGGAACTGAGTTCTTGTGGGAAACCATCCCCAGAAACACAGCTGTTCACAGAGGTGCGGCCTCAGGAGGGACTTGGCAGCACCACTGGTCACCAGAGTTCACCCTGAATCCCCTGGTGCCTGGAGGGGCCACGCGTGTTTGCTCCTTGAGCTGATCCCAGGGAACATGAACCCTCCAGCCTCTTTAGAACAGGAAGGAGGTTTGCACTGGGAGCCAGGAGCCCCCTGAAGCCTGGCTGACCCCTTCCTCCCACAGAAGCGGGGAGAGGGTGCCCCCTAGTGGTCACACTTCAGAGTGGGTTCAAGGTCCCCAGAAAACACGCTGGGGTGTAAGCTGGGGAGGCCTCAGTAAGCCTTTAAACTGACACTGAAACCTCCATGCGTGTTGCAGGGAGGGAGGGAGGGAGTCCCTGTCTCCTGCTGGCACCTGGGAACACGGACTTTTTCCTCATTTAGGTTTGTGTTTCCCTCAGCCTCACGGGGCCTGACCATCTGGCTCAGGCGGGTCCCCACAGCGAGGCCCAGCATCCGCCTGCAGGAGGGGGTCTGGGTGGTTCTTCGTCTTGAAGCCTCTGGAGAGAGGTTCCAGCCCAGCTCCCCATGCACCCCTGTGTCCTGGCTCCTGGGGCTGTCCTTCTGGGGGCCTCTCCATCCTAGTTCCCCTCGTCCCGGCAACGCACACAACCCCCAGGTCTGTGGGTCCACCCGGCAGGACCCTGGCTGCCTGCATGCGTTGCGGGGGCCTCCACAGTGTTAACTAGACATGGGGGAGGGGCCCTGCCCATGTGGCTCCGTGGATAGAGCGTCAGCCTGGGGACTCACAGGTCTCGGGTTTGATTCCTGTTAAGGGCACGGACCTCCATTGCAAGCTCGATCCCTGCCTACAAGAGGCAACTACTCAGTGTGTCTCTATGGGCTCTCCCTCTCCCACTCCTTCCACTTTCTCTAAATATAAGTGGGAAATATCCTTGGGTGAGGATGAACAAAACCAGCTGAATAAAGGAATCTTGTTGTTGTTTCTAATAGAAAGAAGGAAAGAAATAGGAAGAGGTCACCACAAATCCCGCCCAGTGTTGCTCATTGGTTGAGCTTCGACCTATGAACCAAGAGGTCAGGGTTGGAATCCTGGTCAGGGCACTTGCCTGTGCCACTGCCTGTACCCCCAGTGGGGGGTGTGTAGAAGGCAACCGACTGATGATTCTCTCTCATCATTGATGTTCCTATCTCTCTTGCCCCTCCTTTCCTTTTTGAAATCAATAAAAATATTATTAAAATAAGAATAAAAAATGAAAAGGAATTGAGACGTAAGGCTTTGTGGTGTTTGACCTGCCCATGCCCCACCCCCTCCCCAGCGTGATTGCACTCTCCAAGTGGTGGTGGCCGCCTTCCCAGGGGAACAAGTGACGACAGTCCCAGGTTCCTGTGTCCGTCTGTCCTCACCTGGGGCTGTGGGAGGATGGACACAGGTGGCTGCTCTCCTCTGAGAAGGGAGGCGCTCACCTGCCACCATGGAAGACGTGGTGCCTCAAGTCTAGACCCAAGGTTTAGTTCCAAGAACCAACATATTCCTTTTTTATCTTTTTTCATCATCACTCAAGGATATGTTTTCATTGCTTTTCAGAGAGAGAGAGTGGAAGGGAGGGAGGTGAAGAAAGAAACATTGATGTGAGGGAAACACATCAACTGGTTGCCTCCTGCATGTGCCCTAAACAGGGAAAGGGCCAGGGAGGAGCCTGCAACCCAGGTACATGCCCTTGACCAGAATCAAACAGATACTCTTTGGTTCAAAAGCCAACACTCTATACACTGAGTCAAACCGTCCAGGGCCAGCATTCCATTTCAAAAAATTATATAATTATCTCATTTATTTCTTTTTAACAATTTTTTATTGTTGAAAGTATCACATATACCCCGTTTTCCCCCATTGAATCCTCCAGACTTCCAGCCCCCACCAGCCATCAGGGCTCCATGTGTAAATGATGAAATTTCTCCCACTTTGAGGGGCTGGGAAACAGAGCTTTTTCACATGAACAAAAGGGAAGTTAAGAGAAATGTGTGCCTTTAGGAGGCAGCTGTGTGCTTGTGAGAGTGGCAGCAGGTGTGAGACAGAGTCTGCGGCCACAGTGTCCAGCCCAGCCTCTCCTGCCTCCTCACATGTAGAGGTTGGAGTTTTTATAGGGGCAGGAATAGAATGTGGGGGATCCTTCTAGAATTGTACAACATAGTCATCCTGCTCTGTTCACCGTGATGTTTATTCTGATTGGAGAAGGCACCTTCTAGCCTGGCTGGCAGCCGCACTGGGACCTGGGAGCTCACCTGGAAGTGCAGCCCCTCCTCCCCATTTGGAGCTGCCGATCATCCCGGAGATGAACAACTTTCCTGCAGGAACCAGCCCGCCAGCCCTTGAAGGTCCCAGCCCTCTGCTCCATGTCACCTGCCCCTTTTGCAGAGCCTTTGGCTACTTCCCTCGTAATCTTCTATCCTTTAACTCAGTATAAGCAGCTGGCTTATGGGGGCTGCAGAGCAAATTTTACAGGGTGACCTGCTGCTCCCCCATATTGCGGGCAGTATTGGAATGAATGCCTGTATATGATTCACCCCTGTCTCTGCTCATTTGGCTCAAGTAGTGACAGGTAGCACAGACCATGCACTGTCGGATTACAAATTTGTGTGTGTAAGTTGTGATTGGGGACAACAACAAAAAGAAACTTTCAGTTTCAAAATAAAAGCATCATCCAATACAAATTCTTATTCCCAAACACCAGAAAGGCAACATGGCCCACAGTGGGTGAAGGAGAGTGAGAGGAAGCCTCATCCACGCGCCTCTGGGGGAGCACCCCTGGGTCCTCATCAAAACCTCAAGGAAGGAGGACTCTCAATCCTGAAAGCTGCCCCCAAGGACTGGGGTTAGGATGACAGGTCTCAGGAAAGGTGGGAGGAAGGGGGGTCAGGACTGGACCCCTTGAGGACCGCATCCTTGAGTCCTTTCCATCTGGGGTCGCCCCTGGGATGACAAGGTAAGGCATGCAGCCCAGGGTCCCAGCTGCACCTTATATGCAGACTCCATGCAAATGGGGCTCTCCTCCTGCTCATAAAAGGGGCCCTTGCTCAGCATGTTGGGGAGACACCCAGAGCCTAAGCGCCTGAGACAGGACCACAGCGGCTCCACCATGGACTTGGTGCCAAGCTGCGTTTTCCTCCTGATCATTTCTCAAGGTCGTTCTCAGGAGTGGGGAGCACTGAGACCTGTGCCTGTGCCTGTTGGTGCTTCCATGTGATTCTCAGTCCACCTTGTGTCTCTGTGTTTGCAGGTGTCCAGTGTGAGGAGCAGCTGGTGGAGTCTGGGGGAGGCCTGGTGCAGCCTGGGGGGTCTCTGAGACTCTCCTGTGCAGCCTCTGGATTCACCTTCAGTAGCTACAACATGAACTGGGTCCGCCAGGCTCCAGGGAAGGGGCTGGAGTGGGTCGCACTCATTAGTAATGGTGGTAGCACATACTACGCCAACTCTGTGAAGGGCCGCTTCACCATCTCCAAAGACAACGGCAAGAACTCGCTGTATCTGCAAATGAGCAGCCTGAGAGCCGAGGACACGGCCGTGTATTACTGTGCCAGAGACACAGTGAGGGGAAGTCATTGTGAGCCCAGACACAAACCTCCCTGAGGAGACAGCAGGGCTGGGTTGCAGGGGGTGCTCATGACACCAGGGGGCGCACAGGACCCACAGCACAGAGAGCAGCCCCAGGTGCAGAGGCAGAGGGAGGTGGGAGGGAAGGGGCTTCCTGTTGGGCACAGGGATTTCCTCTCCAGCTCTCAGCTGCCTCCAGGGACAGTTCCAGATCTTTCTCTAAGGCTCTCATTTCCCGCTTTCTCACTGCAGACCCCAGAGGAGGGGGTAGCACTGCTGCTGGCAGAGGACATGTGGGCAGTGATGGGGACTCTCCTCACCACGTGTCTGTATTTCCTGCTTTTCTTTCTCCACAGAGACCATCCTCAGTGCTCTCATCGGCCTGTGGTTGGAAACTTTCCCACCAAGAGAGACCCCAGCACAGCCCAGGCCCCTGTGTGCTGAGCTCGGGGTCTGACCCACATGCCCACCTGTCCCCATAGGGCCCTTCCTTCTGACAGGCCCACAGTAAATAAAACAGGTGTGTGTCCCGCAGACAGTGGAAGCTGGATGGACCCATCTGAATGGTGGAAAGGGCCTTGAGGGCTGCTCCCTGGTCACCTCCCCTGTACAGGTGCCAGGACTTGCTGTTTCTGGTGCCACAGGAAATGACCTCAGCTCTCTCCCCATAGGTGTCACACCAGCACTGATGTGAGATGACAGCAGTGTGCGCTTCCCGTGTCATGCAGGTTCATAGGGACGTTTAACAAGGTTAATTGGAAATCATCTCATTTCAACAAGCAGCTGACTTGGGAAATCTCTTGGTGAAGGAGACAGCTTTACAGTTTTGAATCTTTTTTATTTAAAATCATGGGGTAAAGTTTGACATTTCATAATTACGGTGTTGGATCCTCTCTAGATCAGTCCTTTGAGGGCTCAGTGGGGATTATAACCCAGGTAGAGGCTGCTTGTGGGGTTGTTGCTCTATCTCAGCATTTCCCAGCCTCCATGGCATAGGTGCTGAAGTGGCTAAACCTTCACCTCACTCATGTCTGCAGGATGGAGTAGACCTCCCACACTTCCCTCCTTGCTCCTTTGGTGGGTTTCCAGGAGCCATGAGAACCCACTGTGTCTGCAAAGCTTCCCCAAATCATGCACTGCTCACTGACCTCTGTGTGTCTCCCCTGGTCCCCTCCTGATTGATGGCTCTGGTTACTACAGAACCTTTCACCATCAGGAATGGGCCTAGGTGAGACCATGAGCTGGTTCTTTGAAAAGATAAAAAAGATTGATGAACCATTAGCCAGACTCATCAGGAAAGAAAGAGAGGGGACCCAAATAAATAAAGTCAGAAAGGATTGTGGAGACGTAACAACCAACTCCCCAGAAACAGGTATTTCAATAAAGTGCTATGAACAACTATATGCCAACAAGCTGGACAATGTGGATGAAATGGACAAATTTCCTAGAAAAACACAGTACCCCAAAACTGAAACAGGAGGAATCAAAAAAAAACCTGAATAGGCCAATAACAACTGAGGAAATAGAAGCAGGAATCTAAAACCTCCCAGCAAACAAAAGTCCTGGTCTGGATGCCTTCACAGGGGAGTTTTACCAAACATCCAAAGATGAACTAACACCTATACTCCCCAAACTATTCAAAAGAAAACCAGAGGAAGGAACACTTCCAAACTCTTTTCATGATTCCAGCATTATCCTAATTCCAAAACCAGGTGACACTCCTAAGAAAGATAATTACAGGCCAATATTCCTGATGAATACAGATGCTAAAATCCTCAAAAAATATTAGCAAATTGGATCCAGCAATATTTTTAAAAGATCATCCATCATGAGCAAATGGGATTCATCCAGGGATGCAGGGGTGGTATAATATTCACAAATCGATAAACATGATACATCACATAAACAAACTCCAAGAATAAAAATAGCATGGACATATCTATAAATTTCATAAATATTATTCATACAAAAACCCCAGAACCAACTTTTGAAAAATATC